TTTGTATTGTTGTTTACTGTATTACTTGGTCCTTTCACGAGTCTTGTAATAACAAAAAAGTAAAGTAGGATACAATGCAACTATTCCATGGAACATTAGATAACTTTTGAGATGGGACCCTGCTGTAGAAAGTAACACCTCTGTCTGAATATAGTATGACCTTAACAAATTTCGTGCATTCTAAATTAGAACTTCAGAAAAAATTGAAACATGTTTCATAGATATTAAATAGGTATATAATAGAAGCGAGATATGTAGTATTTGCATACTAAATTATTATCTAAAATAGAAAATAGTCTTCAAGATTGTACATTACAGTACAAATTTAATACATGGGGAATAAGTTGTTTTCAAAACAAGTTAGAATGATAATCAACAATCTAAGAATTAAACATTGGTGTGATAATTTCTTTTAAGGTCAAAGAATCATGATCAGTGTTAGTCCAAATTGTTTTATGAAGATGTAATAATAGAACTATTGTGTTTTGGAAACATATATCACATAGATTATAAAACCATAACATGACTATTTTAAAACTGCAGTTTTGAGCAGGTTTTAGCTCACCTAAGCCAGATTAAATTAAGTATGTTAGTGAAAGCTACCTTGTTTGAAATAATTGAAGTGTTTGAGATTTTTCAAGTAAATATGTGTGTATGAATGTCTATATATAACAAAAAGTAATTCAGAATATGAAAGTGAACAACTGTATAAAGCTTTAATTAATAGAACTGTTGCATGATTATTAAAACAATTTATGAGGCCCATAAGATAAAAAAAAATATTTTGAAAATTTGTATTAAAGTTGAATAAAAGATATTAAAAGCCATGGGTTGTTGAGAATCATTTATTGTGCTTTCAAACTGATTTTTGAGAAACTTTGGTGAACTTTAAATATTAGAAAACATTTTCTCAATTAATTTGTTATTAATTTTATAAATGACTTTGCAGTTTAATAGCATCATATTAGTTTTCTATTTTACTCTGTAGTAATTTATATATATATTTTATTTTGTAGTTTATTCTAAATGTCAGATTAGACTACCGAATAACAGGTCTTCTCTCCATATTCAAAAGAGAATTTGATGAAAGTCACGATCAGTCTGCTACAGAATCAACAGTTACCATTGGTGAAAAAGGTATCCTTAATCTTTATTTCTACATAAGCGAACAAAATATCGGCAGTTGTATTTTTCAGTTACCCTTCTTGTACTTTCAAAAGATATCTTGATTGAATACAGCAACATAGTTTGTTCATTTTGCTGAATTTATATTCTAAGAGTAAGAACATAAACACATTGCACTATAGATTTTGATTAGTTTCAAAGAAATAGTTGTTGAGGCGAAGAAGATACTTTTTTATTCTATTATTAATACATAACACAAGAACATAATACTGTAAGGTTTAACTTGTTATTTCAAGAATCATGAAAAGACTAAGTAATACAGTAAACAACAATACAAACACATTAGTTTTCAAGTGTAAATCAGGGGAAAGATTGATCTGCTCCATGAGACAGTCACAGAATAGTCCTTTATACACACACAAGGTAAAGTAGGATAATATGCAACTATCCCTGGAAATATCTCTGCTCCATGACACAGTCACAGAATAGTCCTTTACACACAAGGTAAAGTAGGATAATATGCAACTATCCCTGGAAATATCATATCTCTGCTCCATGAGACAGTCACAGAATAGTCCTTTATACACAAGTAAAGTAGGATAATATGTAACTATCCTTGGAAACATCTCTGCTCCTTGAGACAGTCATAGAATAGTCCTTTGTACACAAGGTAAAGTAGGATACAATGCAACTATCCCTGTACATATCTCTGCTCCTTGAGACAGTCACAGAATAGTCCTTTATACACAAAGTAAAGTAGGATAATATGTAACTATCCTTGGAAACATCTCTGCTCCTTGAGACAGTCACAGAATAGTCCTTTATACACAAGGTAAAGTAGGATAATATGCAAGTATCCCTGTACATATCTCTGCTCCATGAGACAGTCACAGAATAGTCTTTTATACACAAGGTAAAGTAGGATAACATGCAACTATCCCTGTACATATCTCTGCTCCATGAGACAGTCACAGAATAGTCCTTTATACACAAGGTAAAGTAGGATAATATGTAACTATCCATGGAAACATCTCTGCTCCTTGAGACAGTCACAGAATAGTCCTTTATACACAAGGTAAAGTAGGATAATATGCAACTATCCTTGGAAACATCTCTGCTCCATGACACAGTCACAGAATAGTCCTTTATACACAAGGTAAAGTAGGATAATATGCAACTATCCTTGGAAATATCTCTGCTCCATGACACAGTCACAGAATAGTCCTTTACACACAAGGTAAAGTAGGATAATATGCAACTATCCCTGGAAATATCTCTGCTCCATGACACAGTTACAGAATAGTCCTTTATACACAAGGTAAAGTAGGATCCGTGGAAATATCTCTGCTCCATGACACAGTCACAGAATAGTCCTTTATGGTACAGGGATAGTTGCATG